ATGGTATGCTAACAGACCTTTTAACATCTAGGAGATTACAAATGAGAGTGACTGCCTTGACATAAACCCAAGCATAACTACAAAGAAAATTTTATGAGGAAAGTCCCTCCAAAAGGGACTCATAGTTCTTATATTTGTATTCCTATAAGATTATAAGCTACTTGCCACAGTTTTAATCACCTCTCTCCCTTCAAAACAGAGAGATGAGAGCAGTTGTCACTAGAAATTCAAGAGAAGATCCTGGTTCTGAATTCAGCTGATAAAATCAGCATATTCTCCAAGGGAATATAGACCTGTTAACTAGTTCTGCCCTACCCTTGATAAATTCACTTGTTCATGATCTTCTCTGTTTTCCTGTAGAGTAGCTGGAACTTTCCCTGGAGCACATTGTCTTATAAAATCACACAAAAAACATGCCTTTGCAGGTAACATAATCGTAAGAAAGTGAACTCTTTCCTTACTTAAGAAGTCCTATAATAATGGGGACATTAAATTGTGGTAATTTCAGAATCTTTAGAAAGGACCTGCAAAGAAATTCAGTAATTTATTTCTCATTTGCCACTGTTTTTTTGAGACAGTCTTGCTCTGTCACCCAGGCTGGAGTACAGTGGCATGATCTCAGCTCACTGCAACCTCTGCTGCCTGGGTTCAAGCAATTCGCCTGCCTCAGCCTCCCAAGTAGCTGGGTCTACAAGCATGTGCCGCCATGCCTGGCTAATTTTTGTATTTTTAGTAGAGGTGGGGTTTCGCCATGTGGGCCAGGCTAGTCTCAAACTCCTGACCTCAGGTGATCTATCTGCCTGGGCCTCCCAATGTGCTGGGATTACAGGTGTGAGCCACTGCACCTGGCTTTGATTTGCCATTGTTATATGTTTGATTTCAGTAAATGTGGAAAAATTTCAGGTCTTTTCCAACTTGTGGATTAACACATGGCCAAGAATCTGAAATCAGGCACAAATGCTTTTAAGAAAAAGTTTTTGTCTTCTGTTTTGAGACTTTGTGAGAATTTGTTGTTTAGGACATTGGTGTTCATTGTGTACCAATGAAACAAAATGTGGTACCAAGGCATTTGTATCTAACAAATCAAATATCAAATCTAAATATTCTCTGCTAGGATGAAAACAAACTAGAGTGGATAAAGGGTGAGTATCTGTATTAAGTTCATTTGCTACTTGCAGGTCTCCAGTGTAGACTGTTTGAGAAAAAGTCTTAAGTGACTTTTGTTCCAAGGCCCATGATAAGGAGAATAACAGAAGGAAACAGTTCAATAGATATAAATGCATGCTAAAAAGCCAGTGAAAAAATTTCCATGCTTCAGATTATTTTATTATTTTATGTATTTTTAATTTATTTGAAAACTATTCATTAATAATTCTCATGCTCATAAACCTCCTTTGTTTATCTTTCACTATAGAAAAGAGGAGGAGGTGAAAGGAAGGGGAAGGCAATTAACATTGATTTAACATCTACTACATATAATCATTTTAAGTAAGTGAATTTACCATTTTAATATAGTAAAAACAAAATCTCACATAAAGAATGAGTAAAGCAGCCTGTTCATGGCACTGGTTGTATTGGTATTGGCCTTTGGCGATGAGATGCTATTATATCTGCTGACACATGCTGCTTTTCTGAAGTCATTCTTGCCCCACTGAAGGTTTTTGGTTTCTTTATCTAGATTCATTTATCATCAATCACCAGGGACTATGCTGGACACCGAGGATGCAAAGATAATAAATTCATCTCTTCCCTTTGAATTTCTTAGTCATAATCAAAATTTCTTTTTCTGTGGTACACATGAATGAAAAAGAAACAAGCTTCTTTCTTTTCTCTTGCTGACTGGTCATTTTTATGATCACTCACACTTTCCTAGAAAAGCAAGAAGAAAACTTGCTGTAAGATCAGAGTTTAGGCTCTGAGACACATTATAGCCTCTCTAATAAATTAACATTCTCTTTAGGAAATACTCTCTTGGGATCAATGCTCTGTTTTTCAGATTTTCTAATTGTCTCCATTATTTTCTCCAAGAAGACATCTGAACATATAGGAATTTACATGATCTTGTAATTCTGGGGTGCAGTGGAGTCCCCTGGCTTAACACAGTGCTTAGATACAGGCTGGCTGGGCTTATTGAAATGGGTTTTTTCAGGGATATTATGAGGCTTCCTCCCACAGAGGCCTGTAGCTGGTCTAGCTTATACTGTTACCTCTTGACTTGGTCGGGGCTCGGTGGTATTTCTTGCTGACTAAGTCTCAACGCAGCCCTTACTGACCCTGCCAACTCTCTGTGGTCTGGATTCAGAGACCCACCTGGCTCTCCTTTTGTTGGAGAGAGGCCGTCGTTGTGCCTTTGTTGTCATGGCAATGCCTCTTTCAAGTTCACCAGCTGAACTCTCAAGAACCTTGGAGTCTCTTCTTGGGAGAATGAGAGAACAACAGAGCAAAGAGAATTCTAACCAAAGATCTCTCTCTGTCTACAACATCCCCACTCCAGGTTATTGTGGGGACAATGTATGAGGCAATTTCCTCCCAGAGTTCTGACCAGGAAATGGAGTTGACATCCTTGTGCTTTGGGCTTTTTTCCCAGCCTGTTTCATATGCCTCCTTTCTAGGTCTTAGGCCAAGAGAGAGAAGAACACACATCTGAGCACCTGCTCCTCCTGCCTTATTCTTTTTTATTCTCCAAATCCTCTGACATGGAAAGAGCTTTCTCTTCCTTTCCCCTTTGCTTTAATAATCCCTTGAATGATATACTCTTCTAATTTTGTGGGTGGTATTCCACCTTTTCTGTCTTTATGGTTAAAATATAGGAGGGTGCAAGGAGAGAGAAATAGTGACCATAATTCAGGAAGTATTTCCATATGGTTATACCTATCACATAAGGAAATGTTTATTAGTTATTCCTTATTAGTCACAGAGTCAATAAAGAAAATCAGATGATTTTTTTTTTTTTGGCCCTTTTATAGTGGTTGCGTTTTGTTTTGTTTTAGTGTTTTGAAATGGGGTACTAGTTCAGATTTCACATATATGCTGGAGGTCCTTGCTACTCAGTGTGCTCCATGGGCCCAGCACGGTGGCTCATGCCTATAATCACAGCACGTTGGGAGGCCGTGGCGGGTGGATCACGAGGTCAGGAGATCGAGACCATCCTGGCTAACACGGTGAAACTCCATCTCTAGTAAAAATACAAAAAATTAGCTGGATGTGGTTGTGGGCGCCTGTAGTCCCAGCTACTCAGGAGGCTGAGGCAGGGGAATGGCGTGAACTCGGGAGGCGGAGCTTGCAGTGAGCCGAGATCAAGCCACTGCACTCCAGCCTGGGCAACAAGCGAGACTCCATCTCAAAAAAAAAAAAAAAAAAGTGTGGTCCATGGACCATCAGTGTTGCCAACACTTGTTAGAAATGAAGAATCTCAAGCCCCACCCTAGAACAGTTACTGAATCAATATCTTCTTTTTAACAAGATGATCAGTTGCACTGTATGCACGTTTTAGTTTCAGAAACACTGCTCTAGGCCACCATAGCCTTACTAAAGGTTTTAAGTATATCAACTATACCCATCATTGGCATTCAGTAAAAATTGATTAATAAACTCTACATGTTAGCCAGTGTTGATTCTTGCCCTTGGGTGCTTATAGTTCTAATCAGGGATCTTTATAATTATGATAAAGTAATTAAAATAAAATTTTTAATTTTTAATTACTAAAATAAAATAGACAATCCTAGATCTATTCCCCCTCACCCCCATCACCAGGCACACCTTAAATTTTTTGACAGATCTATTAAGATTAAATTACAAGTTATTAAAAGTGGATTTATATTTTCATGGAAAGCAGTCATTTAATGTACAGAGACAGGAACAGGTAGTAATAAAATACTCAACTGAAAAATTCAGATTCGTACCTGAGGCTGCTGCCTCATTAGTACTGATAGGGTTTTGCTCAGTTACAATTTGACAAGACTGTAGGATTTCTTTTAGTGGGATGATTTTGGGGGTAAAGGACAAAGTCATAGTTTTTCATTCTGTACTTTCATTTTCAGATCACAGTGTTTTAGAAGAATCTGGGCTTTACTTATTCACCAGGCTTTCAATAGAGAATCACATTAATCCTTTTAAGCTCCTTATTCTAATGATTTATTTTGTTGAAAACCATAGTGATCCTCCTTTGAATTTTAATGATTGCTGGCTATTCAAAGATTCATTGTTTTGACTTCCTGTCCTTACCTTTGTTTCCTACATGTCTGTGGGGAACACCTGTCTAATACTGGATCCGCCACTGGTTCTCACTGGCTTACCAGAGTCACTCAAGCCTATCTCTGAGTGTTAAACTGAAATGCTGACTACTCATCCATAACAATAAATGTAGGATATGTGTTTGCAGAGATAGGCAGATAGACAGCAGAGGGACAGATAAATGATTGAGAGATTTCCCAGTGAAAATAATATTTTGGATCTGATAGTATATATCAATATATTTGGATCTGATAGTGATCATTATAGAGAAATTAGTTAAATTGTTATTCTTAATCATAAATCTGTTAGATGTAATACCCATAGAAAATCTAGTAGAGGGGAAAGGGGTTCAAATTTTGAGGGTGCTGTTCTTACCCAAAATTTGGGACCATGTGACCTTCTACAAGTCACTGACTCTGTATTTCCCAGTCTATTAAATGGCAGTGCTCTTTTTTAAGGATGCGGTGGTGATCATTTTGTTCAAGTGCTGCAAATCCTCAGAAAGGGTTAGAAAATGGAAATAGCCCTAACATGTCTCAGGTATGAGCACTGGAATTGCATATTATGTTTTCACAATCTTAAGAGGTGGCTGTGTCGCAGGTTTGAGTTTCTATTTTGCCTACTGTGTAACAACATAGAAATTTTCTCTTCTCTTTTTGTAGATATCACTAGGAACATCATGGGTTTTCAAGAATATATTATTCTAATATGAGATTTTAACAACTACACTGTATTTATGCATACTACATTTTGTGCCTTATCTTCAGGCTTCTGGACTTTGATTCAGAATATCAGGAGCTCTGGGATTGGCTGATTGACATGGAGTCCCTTGTGATGGACAGCCACGACCTGATGATGTCAGAGGAGCAGCAGCAGCATCTTTACAAGGTTAGAGCTACCCTTCCTGCCTTTACCTTGCTGTGGAAGATCTGATTAGCCTGACAAGTCTCTCTGTCTCTCAGGATATCTTTTCGTTCATTGTATGTATCATGGTGTCTATTAGAATTCCCTTCCCTGTCCCCAAACTCATTTCCATCCCTTGTGTGCTGACAGGCTGCACCGACATCATAATTGCAAGAAAGTTCCCTTTATCACATTCTATTTGCTGTAATTCTATAGAAGGACAAAGATTTATCTTCAAGATGAATAGCAATAAATGAAACTGCATTCATAAATAGACTGAAACAAAATGAAGGATAAATGGACTAGTAACATTTAACAAAACGTGGTACGATTGGAGCACTCAGGTGGATTCTATCTACCCCTCGGATCTTCCGAGGGAAAAAAGAAATTTGCCTTTGGTTTGGCTTGCTGCTGCCAAATTACAGCGTTCATCCAATTTAATGTTTATTAGTGATACATAGAGCAGACGTTGTCGTATTATGTCAATACATTTCTATGTGATTTAAGAAAACTGGCTTGAAACTCATGTATTGATTGCAGGCAATCCATCTAATAACTATCTATATTGTTTTCCATGTCTGCTAATCCACCCTTAACCTACTGTGTTTTACCAATTCTACTTAAATAGTCTTAGCAGTTAAAAAGCAATCATGTGATTTTGCCTTAAAAAATGGTTGCAGGATTCACAGTGTCTGAAAAAGCTGTCAGGGGGAGGGAAGAGGGACTTTCCACTGAAATATCAGACTGCAGTAAATCTTCCTCATTTAGGCAATTTTTATTGGAGTAATTCTGACAGTTGTCATCCTTGAATTGCTTTGAGCATATGGCATATTTCAAAGAGCAGATTGTGAATCATAAAAAATAAAATTAATAACTAACCACAGAATCAGCAACAGTATAATGACAAGAAACAACTACCCTCTAGTTTTTAAAATTTCTTATAGAATAAGAAGTACTTTCAAGGTCAAATAAAAGTTGCCTTCTTTCTTCTTCAATGTTATCATTTTAAATTACCGTTCTTTAATAAATTATTTTAACTTTTAGCTCCCCTAAAGAGAGATATTTGTACTTTTCAAGAGTCTGGTTGACTTTAATTAGTGTCCCCTAGGAATCATCTCAGTTAAGAGAAGATATAAGCTCCCCAGGGACCCAGCAAATGGGGACATTTTATTCTCTAAAGAATTCAGTCCAACATTAATTGAGTTTGTTGACTGTTAGCTGTTTCCTGTATGGATAGCTGTCCACATTAACAACACAGCTATCTAATATATCTTCTGGCATAACATATTGTTACGGTAACAGTCTCAACCGAATTTAGCTAAAACTAGATGACTTCACATTTCACATCAGGATCAGGAATTGCATATGAAAACGTGTATAAATCTATATTAATTTAGTGATAGAAAAATATTTTATCCCTAAGACTTAAGTATTAAAAATTGAGCCAAACGGGAAAATATAAACGGTTACCTAACCATAAGCCATTATCTCGGACTTTATTGCACTCATGGTGCCAAATAACATTTCTTTTCTTCTTGATGCATTTTGTATTTTGCACATAAGCCACTATTTTTTCAGAAACAGTGCTATTCTTTGTCAAAATCACATTCATATAATTTACATCACAATTAATAGGAAATCATTGAACAAAAATGCAGTCTTCTTTTTCTTGCGGTTTCCTTATAAGTGCTTTGCCTGAAAATTCCCATTCTGGCATATCGAAGACCATTATTCCACCCACTCAGAACTTCTGGGTTATAGTATTTTTCCAAACATTTTCTGTACTGTGATTTTTCATTTGTGACTCACGTCCTGTCACCATTCTTCTGCTTTTAGGTGCTTAACATAGCTCTGCTCATTAGACCAGCACTAACTTTGCATTTGGCTTATAAGCAAAATTAAAGATTGAGTTAGAAACCAGTAGAAAATGCTGCAAGTCTGTAGGGTCTTTCTTTATGTGCGCTCCCAAATTATTCCGGAGGCTTGGAAGCCTCCAGAATAATCCTGAGGATATTGACTGAGGAGTCGTGTAGAACTTCAGGTGGCTCCTAAATTAGAAAAACTGATGAGAAGAATTAATTTCATGTCTTCCTAGGAATCCTCAGGGATTTCCAGGTTAGGTCAATATTTTCAATATCCTATTCCTCTATTCTAATCTGTTTTTCCAGGAATCAACTGAACTGATGCCTTGAGAAAGGGGTATTTATGGTCTGTTGATCATAGAGATACCTGAAGGAATAAAGCTCTTCAATTGATGCCCAGGCCTTGCTAGGTTTTAAATACAATTTGAGACTACCTTATTTATCTCTAATCTTTTTATTTGTTGACCCCAAAAGATACCAGTGCTTTATCAAGATTTTTTATTAAGGGCACCATTGACATTTAGGGCAAAACATTTTTTTTTTTTTCAGTTTGTGGGCCTGTCTTTAACACTACAGAACATTTACTCTTCATGTTCCCCAGTCATTGTGACAACTCAAGACCTCCCAACCCATTTTACAGCATTTCCCAGTCAATCTCAACATATCTATACCATCTTCGTTTTTTAAAATACTTATATAACACCAAGGAAAATGCCTTAAACTTGTACTGTATACATTATTGAACAAACACCTTATATAGCTGATATTGAACCAACAGTTGTGAGTTTAAAAATCAAGGATGAAAATGAAGCTCATCATCCCTGGTATTAATGAAAAGGATGAAGTGAAACTTTTAAGGGAGATCTTCAGCCGACTGATGGCAAAAATCCTAGGAAACTACAGAGCAGGACTGAATCTTTATTCCTTCTATTAGAGCATTTAAAACCTTTGTTCTTCTCTCCATCGGTGGCTCTCTGTGTTTCATCACTCAACTCCTTTCCTGGAGTATTTATGCCCAAACCCTGACTCATGCACTTACAGAGTCCTAGGTTGATCCCCAAGGTATGCATTTAGAAATGTCAGGTTAGATAAAATCTAGTAAGATGCTAGTCAGTGAGAGTGAAGCTTATTTAGCTTTTTCAACATTATGCATTACCTTCCTGACTTTACCTATATATTTTTATATCCTGGTCTCCACTAGAAAATCAGCTAGCTTTACCCCCTAAATATGAAACTATAGATTGTATGAAATACAGAAACCCTAGATTATCCACTCAGCAGATATCCTGAGTAGAGCATCTATTGTGATATTTAGGCTATCCAAAGCCAGCAAAACATACAAGGAATTTATAAAGACAAATAATTGGATTTAATGGGCAAAGACTACATTAGTACAACTTGACATAATTCAGAAACCTTAATACTGCAATGGGCTATAAAGTGGACTTTCTATTTAAACTATTTCTTGTTATTTTTATACTGTTAGAAATTTAAGACCATTTTTTGAGTTAATTTTAAACTGCAGTCTCAAGCAACCTAATTCCTATTAAAAACTAACCATTCCCTTAAATCTACTTCTTTGTTTTGAGACAGTGAGTTATACTGCCAATGACTTCCCTTCCCCCTTATCTGTCTTGCTTTACCTCTGAATAGGAGCCTTCTATATCTATTTTCTAACAAACATTGTCAATATCGTCAGCCTAGAAAACACCAATGTAGTCTTTTCTCATTTTTTCTTCCTCAACCTGAGAATTACCTCGAAGAAAAATTTGCACCCACTCTCTCACTTTCTTTCTCTTCATTCCTCCTATCTTCCTAAGTAGGACAATTTAATTTGTCAAAAGTAACCACTATGATTTTGAAAGTTCAGCTCCTATTTGGACTAGAGTTACGATGCCAGAATTCATAATCACAGGGAGCTGTCACTCTGCTGGTCTGCATGTGCATTAACTATTAATGGAGAAATATTTAAAACCCACTTGTGAAGGAAAAGCTCCATTTTTTCATTTCTACAGATCAAAGGTGGCATTATTCTTAGGCTTGGGGAAGCTCACGACACCTCCTCCCCCATCCTCTAAGTGTTATAGACTGAGGGACCTAGAAGCATTTCAACGATTGAAGAGTTATAGCTCAGACTGCTGCTGTTGCTGCTGCACTGTCCTCCCCAGCAGCTACAGCTGACTTTGTAGTATGGCGAGGGTGTACCCTATCAGGGACTCCTTACCTATGCACAAAGGACTGCCAGTTTGCTGCTACCTACAGAGCACAGATGACAGACCTCCTAGTGATGCTATGTTAGTATGGAGTTCCAGACTCCAAGGGTTAATTTGAAGGGCCAAATTCAGAAGTTGCAGCCCGGTGATTATTGTTATAATTGAACACGAGTTTTCAGATAGTATGAAGCTCACTGAAACACCCCACTTATAGATTTGTTCCTTGAATGATAGCTTACCTGCTCCTCATCAATAAAATATTAGATTACAGTCATGGGCCGCATAACAAGATTTTTGGCCTATGATGGACTACATATGCAATGGTTGTCCCATAAGGTTATAATACTATATTCTTACTGTACTTTTTCTATGTTTAGGTACACAAATACTTACCATTGTGTTACAGTTGCCTACAGTATTCAGTATAGTGACATGCTGTCCAGGTTTGTAGCCTAGGAACAATAGATTCTACCATATAGCCAAGATGTGTAGTAGTCTCTACCATCTACTCTATCATCTAGGTTTATCTAAGTACACTCTAGGATGTTCATACAGTGACAAAATCATGAAACACTGATTGGAAAGAGAGCAGAAAGTGAGGTGGGGAGAAAAGGAGAGATTATAGCAGGGATATACATTTCTCAGAACATATCCCCGTTGTCAAGCAACATGATTTGTACATGATTTATAAAGGGTTAAAAATAACTCTCCCAGCTTAAAATACTACTAAATAAGTATCCAATTCAACTAAGACCCTTGTACTTTCAGATAATTTATACTAAAGATTTTGTACTTAATTTTGAAGGTTAGTTACTCATATGGCTCCATTCATAGAAGTCCAAACATGCCCTCTGTTTAAAAGGAAAAGGGCCATTCATTTATATAATACCATGGCTACTAAACAGATCAA